AGCTCCTCTTCCCTTTTTGTCCTGCGTTCACCCGAGGGACTCCTTTCTTTATATTTCACCGCCGTGTGTTGTCACAGCATACTAATAGTTTACAGGACCCGCTCCACTGCCAAGATTATTCTCTCCATTAAAATTAATTAGGGCTGAGCGAGACACCTAAGCCGAGCTGGCTCACAGCACTCACTTGTAGGTTTTTGATTATATTATATTACAGTTTTCTTGTTCATCGTTCAAGTAAATTAATTAAAAGACAAATTTTTTATATAATTAACTTAGTCACTCAGTGAACATTTTGCACCTTTTTCTGTTTACATTCTTGATTAAAAGTTGAATAGAAAAATAATGAGTTGCTTTGTTCATAAGGACAATCAGGATATGGTACAGGTCCAGCTTATAGTTCAAATGTACTGTACTATGTACTTTTTATGAACACCCTGTACTGACTGTGCTGAGCTTCACTATCATGTCTCTCTGTAGTAAAAAGCTATTTATGGTTTACTGGATGTTTTGTGTTTCTGTGATGCTCAACCAAAGCACCACTTCTTCTATATATGCGGCGCTTTCCATGGTAGTTTTATACGCTATCATTACATGCTGTATATATAGATAGAGAGAGTATATGTTCAAGCTTTACACTGAGCTCTTAACTCATCACCTTTATGTTTAAATATTCTAGCAATATGCTGAAGCCAGCAGGTGGCAGAGAACATATAATCACATACATCGGTCCTGTGCAGAATCTGACACCTACAAGCAGACAGAGACCCCCCGCTGTACTGCATGTACCAGCCGAGTGTCCTCCACACATGTTACGTAACGCAGACAGCACATGAAGCGGCGTTCTTCAGCCGCAGCGTTCCAGCCGCTCGTGTCGTACATCATACTGCGGGGAATCTTACGTCCCACATTTCGAGCCCTTGATGTTAAGTGCCCCCTCGTTCGCTTCCCTCCTCCAGTCTGGGGAAGTCTGCAGCCGAGCCTCCTTCTCCTCAGACACCATGCGAGGAGAGCATTGTCAAAAAGGGGTTTCCCAAGGCGCTACGGCTGCACGCACAGCTGGCATACCTCCCCGTGAAAGGGTCACATGTATGTGTTGTAAGGGAGGGTGCACGTATTCTATTTCCAGAACCAGCCCTGAGCCACTTTAATCCCCCCGCCTTGACTCCATCGCCATGGGCAGAAGAAAAAGAAAAAGGCCCCCCTCAAGCCTGCCCACCCGAGCGTGGGGAGCAATGTTGCCGAGATTGAGTTGCAGGTTTACTGAAAATAGATTGTGAGAGGAAGAATCTTCTCTGTTAGGCAGACAGACGGTTTGATAGAGGCGATCTCAGCTGAGGAGACAGCTCTGTTTGTGCTGTGCTACAGGGGAAAAAGACTAGACTCAGGCTTTTAACTGAGGTAAGACCTTATGGCGCGTGTGTGTGTGTACGTGCGTGTGTGTGTATGTGTGTGTGTGTGTCTGTGTGTGTGTGTGTGTGTGTGTGTGTGTGTGTGCGTGTGTGTGCGTGCATGCATGTGTACGAGCATGCAGAGATGTGCATGTGTACACAAACTGCCTAAGTGACGTAGCTATCCTGGGCCCTTTGTGTCCTGGAGACTTATCTTAAAAATAGTCTTATTTTCTAGTGCAGGGACATATATTCAACATAAACTTAAAAATAATGACTTTACTTTTATATGTTGGTTGATTTAAATAGTGCAAATGATTCTTGTTTGACTTTATAAATCACTTTTATGTAAACTACAGCTATTTGGTTGATATTCCACCAAGTAATTCCTTTGTCTCTAGAAGTAATGCTCACACATACGAAGCTCTGCAGGATGGTAACCTGAGAATAATCTGTTTTTTTCATGGCTTCAGCTTTGTGAGTGTTGCATTCGCTGTGTATTTGTGTAAACAGGGTGTGAAGAGCAGACCAGTCGTGGATGTCTGGGTGTGAGCAGAACATTTTTCTTGCGGTGGAGGGCTTTAGCGTTTTTAACATAAGCTTTAATTTTTTATTTTATTTTTTAGAAATTCGAGTCAGGCTCCCCAAGTCAAGTTCCCATGACACCCCATATGTCACGCCGAATTCCCCGGAAGTGTGTATAAAATGATGCAGAAGACATCTAGAGTTTTCTATTTGATGTGACGGTAAAGCACCGTGGTTTGAAATATTTCTCTCAATGGAAGCGTGGTACACTGTAGCTCCGAGCGAAAATATATATGGCATTGCTGACATTTTTCTAACTTTGAAGCTATTAAAGAGGAATCAAATTTTCGAGTGTAAGAGTTTCAAAAGGTGAAATGAGATGCCAGGAGCCACAGCAGCTCGGTGTGTGCACTTTGTGTGCACGCCTGTGTGTCATATGCACAAGCATGAGGTATAGTGGGAGGGTGTATACGCAATGTGAGCATGAATTTATACATGTGTTTATCACATACAGGGCTGCAGCTACTGAATAAT